GCCCCCGCCCCCGCCCCGCTTAATAATATAATTAAAAAATTATTTTTATATATATATATATATATACATATATATATATATATATATATATATATATATATACACACAAATATCTCCTATGAAAATCAATTATCAATCAAACTTTTATAGTTTTTCTCAAACAAATATAATTGTTATACATTATAAATATTATTTCCACAAAATAAACCAAAAGAATTAGATAAAAATAAATATATATATATTTTTATGTAAAAATGAAGCTATTTTTTTAAAAATATTTCAATAGATTTGACTAAATTAAAAGAATCAGAATATATATTAATATTTCTTGTTAATAAATATTTTATAGTATAAAAATCATTACTATAGATTTATGTTAAATTAAAAATTAATTGGGAAATAAATGAATAAATTGAATAAAAATAAATATAAATTTCATGTCAATAAATAAAAGAATAACTATTTTTAAAAAAAATATTTTGAGAGAAACAACTAAATTAAAATAATCGAAATCTGCATCCTTTTAATCAAATTAGGATCCTAAATATATTTTTAATATCAAATTATTCTCTTAAAGTATATTTTCAAGAAAATATTATAAAAAATCATGTAAAATATTTATATTAATTGTAAGTATTTGACAGAAACAAATTGGCCAAAGAATTCATGTTATGGACAATTTTATAATACAAGTAATTTAGTTTGGGAATAAAACAAAATATTAATTAAAAATACAACTAATATAAAATTTTATACAAAAAATACAAAATATTAATTTTAATATATTTCCTTCAAATTTTATGTAAAAGAAATAAAAATATTTTGAAGTATATAAAGCAAACAACTTTTGCGATTTTTTTTCTCCTATAATCCTCCACCAAAACATTCAATATATTATATAGATTTAAAATTAAAATCATTATTGTAATGCTTACCTAATTAGTATGTTTTATTTCAAAAGCAACTATTTTAGGATGGGAGGATATTGTGATGTAAATTATGCTAGTTATATAGAGTGAAAAGAAAAAGTACAATTGGAAGATATTGTTTT